TGTAACAATAAGCAAAAATATCAACCAACATTTGCAGTACTCATTTCTCAAGCACATAAAAGTACTTAGTGCATCACTCTATTACTAAATTACAGCCAAGTTCTAGCCAATATCCTGTTAGTTACATTGGAAAATGTCTAAAAGTACTTATACCACAATTTCTTCTCTTGATATTTTATAAATAAATTCAGAATTCTTCCATCAAATCCAAGCTATATATTTTAGAATTCACCAAAGGATATGAGTTGCCTTCTTTGCCTGACTGGTTTTTTTTTAGATATTTATTTATTTATTTGAAAGTCAGAGTTACACACAGTGAGAAGGGGAGAGGGAGGGAGGGAGAATCTTCCCTCCACTGGTTCACTCCCCAGATGGCCACAAGGGTTGGGGCGGAGCCAGGAGCTTCTTCTGGGTCTCCCACGTGGGTGCAGAGGTCCAAGGACTTGGGCCATCTTCTATTGCTTTCCCAGCCCATAGCAGAGAGCTGGATCTGAAGAGGAGCAGGTGGGACTCGAACCGGCGCCCATATGAGATGCCAGCACAGCAGGCAATAGCTTTATCTGCTAGGCCAGGACGCCTGCCCCGCCTGGTTGCTTTTTTATTGTTTGCAGATTTTGTCTTGTTTGTTTTGAGAACACATTTTATGCTTTTTCATATATGAATGATACAGTGATACACTCAATTCTAAAGATAAATTCATTTAACTTTTCCTTCCAAAAATTTGCATCCTAATATCGATATAGTTTAGAGTATATTTTTTAGTAAGAAAGTTTTTAAATTTTTTTTTTTTTTTTTTTTTTTTTACTAAGAAGCCAAGAACTTTACTGATGGAGCAGGTACTTTATAACAAACTGGAAAGCCCACTTTATCTGGGAGGTCAGAGTGTCTGCACAAACTCTCAGGATTTTTCCACTTCAAAACAAGTTTTCCCTTTTACCACAGCCTTTGGATCTGCACTTGCCCAAACCATCCCTCCCCCTTTCTGAACAAGCAGTGCACACAGGTACACCTTGACCAGTGCCGGCCAGCCAAGCTGCACAGTCCCAATGTCAGTTCTGTATTTCTTTGTAGACAAAGGCATAATTACCAGATCCTGCAAAGGATTTGGGAAGCGATTTCGCCCTCCACCTTGAAAATAAAATACATTTCAGTGGCCACATGTCCTGAAGTAGTTGAGTCCAGAGCTCCTAGCAAGATGGTCCATTGTCAATCCCTTCTTCTTTTTAAAAATTCAAACATTGTTTATTTACACTGTTTAAAGAACACAAGACTTCCAGACTCTGAATTACACAAGAAATAATGATAATCCAGCTTATTTTTAAAACAAGTAACTGCAATCTAACTACCTGTATAACAAAGAATTCCAATTTCATCCACCCTTCCCCTTGCCCCCAATACCTATGGGGTAAGCCAAGGCCAAAAACACACTGGCAGCTATTCAGAAGCCATCTCTGTGAGAAATCCACACAGAATTTTAGTTTATATGTGTCTACTAGGGGGCAAAAAATCATTCTGACCTGTTCCAAGTCACAAGAGAAATGGTAATAATTTAAAAGTGCAATTCCAGAACAGGTAACCAAAGAATTTATAATTTTGGTATTACTACTCAAACATGAAATGTTTCAAATTTCCAAGCCGCTTGTAGTTCACAAGGAGATGTATGTTCCTTACTTGCTACAATCACTAAAAAAAACAGCTATAGTCAACTTTCTGATAGTTTAAAAACCAAAGAAACCCCCAAAACAATCTAGCTAAAAACTGTTCAAGTATCTCTTAAAGTAACTTGTAATCCAAAACAATTTTTAACAAAAAAGAAAATAATTCGAAACTTGGAAATTATACTAACAATGAGAGATCAGAAAACACACCAATTTAAGTCTAGCTGTTTCTTCCAAGATGGAGTAAGCACCGGGGAAAACACAATACCTTTAGAGACATTACATGTCCACAACTCAAACTGGCTCTCGTAAGCAGTTGTATATGTGAGCTTTCTATTCAAGCCACTTGAAAGTTAGAAAGCTTAGACAATGCCTTTATTTTTGTTTGTATTCTATTTTTGAAACAGACTTTGTAAAAATTGTCAAAAAAATTTTACAGTGTACTTTATGTCCAAATAAGTAACAATTTACCATAGTCAGTCAAATATCCAAATGCAGAGAATGCTCATTTTCATTTTTCTAAAAATTCCTATCACTGTCACATAAAAAGTCAACTGTTAAACTCAAGTTATAAATGAAAGCTCACTGCATGTTACAAATGATAAACAATTGCTAAATCTCTTCAAATACATAGTAACAAACAGTTATAACGGCCGTGGCAAGGAGGGGTGCGGGCAGGGACTGACACACTATGAAACTGAGGTCTTTAAAACTATTTTCCTAGTGCCGATGCTACATTTAGGGATACAATACTCCGTTACACAGGTGCACCCTCTGTAACTTTTGATACAGTATCCCCTGAATAGATACCGGACCTCGTGCCATCTAGGAAGCGTGTATACAACATTACACAGGTGTAAGATTAGAGAGCGACGGGAGTGACCATGCTGGAGGCAAGTACTATCCACAGTCCACATCTGCAACCTAATTTTTGCTTGAGCATCCCTAGAGACTTCGAAAATATTTCTTTGGGTAGGTTGCAAAACAGTGCTTCCTCTTTTATCCTCAGCACCCTCATTATGATACAAAGCAACAGACACACAAGAAAACAAAATCTCCAACTGTAAGGGCTGAAACACACACAAAGCATCTTCCTTCCAACCCTCGGGCCGGGATTCATTCCACCTGTTTGTAAAGCCACACTTCCACAACAACAAAAACCCTATGCGAGCGGGCGAGAGAGAGAGAGAGAGAGAGAGAGAGAGAGAGAGAGACGGGGGGGGGCAGACAAATTAATGCTTTAGAGTCATTATTCTTCCATCTAGGCCTGGGGGGAGGGGGGAGGGCACAAAACAATGGATAGTGAGGGGCTGGGGGGGGGGCGGGAGTCGCGCTGCCCCGAAGCCCCCGGCGTCAAAGTTGGGGGCGGGGGAGTTGCAAGACTTTTCCTCTGACCCCAACAGCTCGGGCGGACAAGGTGCCATCAGGTAGCTCCAGAAGGCGGTACCGAGCGGCTACAACTCGCTTCACCGAGCAACACACCCAAAGCCGCTTCACCACACTCCTCGCGGAAGGGTCTCCGGGGACGGGAAGGAGCCCGGGGGAGGGAGCAGTGGGCTCTGGGGAGCGCGCGGGCAGGAGACCCCACCCCGTATCTCCGCCGCCGCCGCGCGCCGGCCCCGGGCCAAGGATTTCCACGACCGCCGACCCCCGGCAGCCCGGAGCCGGGGCGCCGGGGCGCCAGGGCGCCGAGCGCCGAGGGAGCGGCCGCCCGCGCCCCCGGCCCGCGCCCTCGCGCCGGCTCGCCCTCGCCCTCGCCCCGGCGCTGTCCCGGCGGCCGCCGCCGGCGCAGGCCGGGCCCCGGCCGCTGTCAGAGCCCGCCGCCTCGCTCTCGGCGCCCGGCTACCGGCTCCGCGGGCGAGCCGGCTGCGCGGGCCCAGCACCCCCGGCGACAGCACCCAGGAAAGCGGCGGCGGCGGCGGCGCCTCCCAGGGCCCCGGCCCCGCGGGCCTCGCCCCGGCCCCGCCGGCTCGCGCCTGTGAGGGCGCGCGGTCCCCCCCTCAGCCGCCGCCAGCCAGTCCGACTGCCCGACCTACAGGAAGGCATGCAGGAAGAACCGACCGACAGACACCCTCCGCCTCCTCCGCCCCAGGTTACCGTCAGGAGCCCCGACTCCGCCATCCTCCTCGCTCGCCCTCCTTCCTCCTCCTCCTCCTCCTCCGAAGCGACGCTGCCCAACCGCCGCCCCCCGCCCGCCCCTCCCCCACTCGCCCCGCCCCGCCCGCCCCTCCACACACTCTCGCCCCAGCCGCCCCGCCCCACCCCTCCGGCGCGGGCTCGTCACTCGCTCGGGAAGAAAACGAGGAGGAGCCAGGGCCGCAGAAGCCACCCAATCGGAGGGAGGCACTGGCGCCTGCTTCCCTCCCTCCGCCCTTTTCCTTCCCTCGGCTCTTTACGCCGTCTCCCGCCCACTGGGCGCCGCTGGCTAGCCCAGCCATCGAGTAAGCCTCCGGGAGGGTAGAGCGGCAACTCCCAATTGGAAGTCACTGTCGAAGCTAAGGCGGCCATAACTACTAATGGCACCAGGAGTTTCCTGGTTTCCGGTCTCCAGTGTGACGTAGCCTTCTCCTTCGCCCAATCTCACCGTTACCCTGGGCAACAACGGAGCCGTCCGGGAAGGGACGCATCTGCAAGGAGGCCCTGAGGGGCACCACAAGGGACCGGCGATTCGGTGTTGGGCACGTTGATGTACACTTGGGACTGCAGATCCAGTTTCCTGGCCCTTCGTGTGTCGAGACGTCTGGCCACTTACCTAAGTGGATCAGTTTAGGGTTCCGAGAACGCCTCTTTGCCCGGAAGTTGCATTTGGCACTTCCGAACAGGGTCACGGCAGAAGGGTGGGGGAAGCCGCCCGCCGGGCACCCGCAGGAAGGGTGCCCGGGTCTCGACCCGGGTCGCCCAGCCAGGTGAGTGACCCGCGGACCCCGCGGCGAGGCTCCGGGTGGCCGAGTCCCGGGGGAGCGAGTGCTGCGCGGGCGCGCGCGGCCCGGCGCCGCTTCCGCCCAAGGAAGGTTTTCTTTCCGGGCGGCCGGGCGGCGGCCCGCCCTCCCTCCGCCCCTCGGAGGCTCCCTGTGGGGCGAGGCCGCCGGACCGGCTGCCCGGGCCGGGCCGGAGCCGGGCGAGCCGCGAGGGCCCTGCCGGCCACACCCCCGCGAGCTCCCCTCCAGTGCGGGACTTTGACTGCGCGACCTTTGGAGGGCGGAGGGGACCGGCCACGGCGGCGACACCTCGCTGCTGGCTCCCCGCAGCCCACCTGAGCCTTGTCCCCTGGAGTCTCTGTAGGGCTTTCGCCGCAGTTCTGCACCTGACCCTGCGCGTGTTGTCCTAAGGCTTGTGAATACTGATAAAGCCCGTGTCCTGTGGCTCTCCGCAAGATGAGCACGCCTTGTCTCGTGTAGCGCCTTGCGAAGGCTCGAGGCGAGAACGCGCGGTCACCTGGGTCCCACCAGACCGCGTGCCTGAAGCTGCAGCAGGAAGACTGGGACCTCCAGGTAAATCCGGATGGCCGTCCGCCGAGTGAACGATGAGGGGGAAACCCGGCCGAAGGAAGCAGTCCTGACTATGCGCTCTGTTGTGGCAGCCCCCTTAGCTGATCGGGTATTCATGACCCGGGGACCCCTGGACACGGATTTCCAGATGTTCTCCAGCAAGAAATAATGTCCTCTGAGCATATCTAGCGCTTCCTGGACCCCTCTTAGGGAAGTCTCTACTTTATACAACGGCCGCTTCTGTTTTACCCCCACTGCCCTGCTTCTTATTCTTAGCTACAATCGTTTGTGTCTGGTCCATCTGTCGTATAATTTTCCCTGCACCTGATGATGATTTTGGTAAATACTTACTGGAATATTGAGTGTGGTGGGAGCCTCCTGGATGTCCAAGACACTTCCAGCCAAGTTTTAGGGATCTTCAGTTCATCAGAAATTCGGCACAGAGCCTGCTACCCAGACCTTTTTTTTTAATTTCTCCTCTGAAGTCTTTCCAACATGATTTTCCCCAAATGTTTTATTTTGAAAATGTTCATACACTAAAAAGCTAAAAGACTAACAGATTTTCATAGACCCTTCACCTGTGTCCAGCAGTTAACGTTTGGCCATATTTATTTCATCCTTCCTCGCATACTTTGTTGTCATTTATTACAAGGAAATTAGTAATTCTGTAATATTTACTGCCCATGTGCAGATCTTCCTAAATGACGCAAGAATATCTTTTATCCCTTCCCCTCTCCGCTTCATCCTGCCCCAAAATCAGGATCCAGTTAAGAATGATGTATTTTATTTGGGGATTATATCTTTTTTGCCTTAATCTAAAAAATCTTTTTTCTCCTCCTGTGACACTGTCATTTTGAAGAGTTCAAGCCGTGGGTCATTTTCAAAATAAACAAATCCCTTTTTTCTCATTTCCTGTAAACTAGAAATTAGCCTAGAGGCTTAATTAGATTAAATTTAACATTTCTTTTTTCAAGGAATACTAAACTATTCGTACTTGGTCAATCATGATTAAACCTCAAATGCAATTACATGTACCCTTGCCATGAGTTGTTAGTTAAATCTGTCTCACTTCTAGTGTGTTCACCCCTGTGTGGTGTCTGGCAAAGAAGAGGTTAGCATTTAATCTTCTGTGTGTGCAGAATATGTAGTAGTGCTTTGGGCTGGCTACATAGACTGCCTACATTTAATAAATGTTGCTACTAGTTTGCCTGTACTTGGAGCTGATGTAATGTAATCTACAGCAAAGTGTACTGATGTCAGCATAGTCTCATGAGTTTCAACTCCTGGCATGCTGCACACTGCTGTTGAAAAATGTGTGGGCCCTGCACTTCAAATACAGATGAATCTTGATGTTATCAAAGCAAATACCAAGGCAACTGCTGGCCATTTGGGCAGATTCCAGTTTAGGCAATGTTATTTTTCTCTCTGAAATTCTCAGCAAGTCCTAATTGGTCCTGGTGTTTTTATGATAGCTTTTTCATAGAATTAAGCAGAGCCTATTAAAAATTGCAAAATCAAGGTTATACTTAATACTTAGTACATTAGGAACATTCTCTCCCCAATGGGTAGAAAAGTGTTTGTGGAATTTACTTCATAATCACAAGAGGAAAATTTTCACAACTACCAAGTTCATACACTTCTAGACATACATTTGATCGTGAAAGATTAAGTGAAAGGGAAAAAAAATGCTCTGGGAAACCAGAATCTTTTATATTGGTATAGGATGTTTTTAGCCATCATATTAAAAGTTAAAAACACACTTCATCAGTTGCTTTCTTTATGTAGTAGGAAATTTGTTCTTGTGGGACTTTGAAACAATTTTAAATTGACTCCAGATTCCAGGAGGGCAAAATACTACACCAAACAAGTCCACAGGTTTTAGGATGAGACCTGTTTCAGGAACAGGACCAATCACTAGCTGAGTGCCCTTACAGTTTCTCTCTGTTATGTATTAAATGGATCATTAAAACCTCTTCGGGTTTGAGTTAACAAAGTTAACAACTCAAATACATGTGAAGTGTTTCAGCTCGAGGTATGGCACATGGAATGGGGTCAGTGGATGGCAATTATTAATAACATAGAACAGTCCAGTTTGGGCACAGAGTAGGTATTGAATATCTAGTGTTGAATCTAAAACAGAATAGTGGGGAGTTCAGTTAACAATTAGTAATTCTGATTTCTGGAGGGCTCTGGGAAAGTCTGTTTTTCTAAATAGTCCAGTGGATTTTGATGCAGGTGATTTGAGGATCGTGCTTTGAGAAACACCAGGTAAAATACCAAACGATCCTTTCCCTTTCCTTACATATTGTTGATCTGGCTAACTAAGTATCTCAGGCACTTTTTTAAAAAGCTAATAGCTAGCAGTTTCAGGTCTACTATCTAGTATTGAATTTTCAAACAGGATAACTTACTAGAAAAAGGCATTTTGCACAAGTAACATGCCATTTTCTGCTACTGTGATAGTAGTGCCTGCTAGTGGAGTATTCCAGAGCCAGTGGCACCATCCAGATTCACCCAAGAACAGCCTCTTTTCTGTAGCCTAGGCACATTTCAGAAGCTAGACACTGCACATTTTATTCACATGAGTCTGAATTAATTAGCCAAATTGAGCATGTTGCAACATTTTTCTTCCAGCAGATGCCAGATAGCAAAGCAGAATAGAATCTACTATACTTTCCAACTGTATGACACATGATGTTACTTGGCATCTCCAGACGAACATTATCAATCCAAATTAAACACTGCTAGCGTGTGGGCAGTCGCGCGAGAAGTGAGCATTATAACTTCGTGTCTGCTAAAAAATTCTTTCTGGGTTCCCTCTTTTACCTTTTTCTCATGTTAGCTTACATTCAGAAGTCTGGCATGGTTTTGAAAATTTATCTGTCGGTCAACAACAAACTCTTGGATAAGACAAAAGATAAAATGTTTTGCTATTTTTGTCATTCTTGCCACCACTCACGACTTGCACGAGGCAGATTGAATTTTTTATTTTAAAGGAGCTAATTTAATGTTCCCAAAAGAAAAATGTCCTTTACATAAATGGGATTGCTCCCGGTGCCACCTTCAGTCCCCAAAGATCATATTTTTGCTTCTCAGTGCCCATTAATGAGAAAATTATACAGCCTGGCATACATGTATTTCACTGGCCTGTGTTGTACTCAGGTGGCCATAATGGCTGGGCAGGTATCTTCCAGGGAAGCCACAGCAGCAGTAAGGACTGGAGAGCACATGCTCACCTGATGGGAGCATCACTCCCAGCCCTGGCCACAGTTTGCCATGTGCGAATGTGGACTTTAATGCCACATTTGCTAAGTAGAGCTAAAGTTCTGTTCTCACATGAAGCCTCCAAATTCTTAAACATTGGTTAAAGTACTTTGAAATATCAAGAAAACCAATAAAACATTCAACTGGCTAGAACCACAGGCTTTGGGCCCTGTTTTTCTTATATGAACACTTGATTGGTCCTTTGGTTGATAATCTCAAAATGCACCTCATCAGAAATTCAATATAGGATGCAATCTAAAACTAATAGTCTATTTAATTCATGATCTTTGTCTAATAAATGTTTTCAAAGAGCTATGATACAAACTCTAATTATGTGATACAGCATTAAAAATACAAAACTTGGATGATTTTAAGGTATTATATTTTTCTAAATAAGCCTGAGATTTTCAAGTTCCAGTGGCATATTCTTTTAAGAATAATAATGCCATAAACAAAAGCCAAAAGAGCAGTTCTTCTTCCTAAGAGATTTCTTCTAGGGTGCTACCAAACATGACAAAAGGAATGCTAAATTCACAGATTAAAGAGTTGGGGCAGCATTATGGCCCAGTGGGTTAACCTATTGCCTGTGATGCCACTACCCTATATGAGCACCCGTTTGAGTTTAGACTGCCCCACTTCTGATCCGGCTTCCTACTAATGCACCTGGGAAAGCAGCGAAGGAAGATGGCCCAAGTCCTTGGGCCCTTGCCGCCCATATGGGAGACCTGGGTAGAGTTCAAGGCTCCTGGCTCAACACAGACGGTTGTGGCCATCTGAAGAGTGAACCAGCAGATGGGAGATCGCGCTCTCTCTGTCTCTCTCTCTCTCTCTAACTGCCTTTCAAATAAGTAAATCTCTAAAAAATGACCTTGTGACAGTATGGGTACAGATAGAACAAACAGAAATCTCAAGTATTCATGATTGCCTGTAGGTTTTTCTTCATTTTTGTTTCAGTCATCAGCCTCTATAATACATGTTAACATAGTTTAATACACAGTAACTTTTTTTTAGAGAGTCTAATTATATGACACAGTACAGTAGCAATAGCGATACAATACAGTAAGAATTGCTAGCATTTCACTGAGCTCTCATCATGTGTCAGGGAGATTTTTATGGCTTTGTATGAATTATATCTTTAATACACCAGTCATTTCAAGTTGATGCCATTAATAAGCTCTGTTTCAGAGATAAAACCTAAGGATTACAAAATGAAGTAATTTGTTTGACTACTATGACTCCAGATCCTTTTTTCAGCTGCTACAGTGTCTGTTTTTACCACCAGCCCCACCACCCATCTTTCCACATCCTCTGGGCCTATTAATTCCACCTCTACAGTTCAAGTTGAACCATAGGTTCTGTGGATATCCAGTCCTTTTTACCTTCCTATTGGGCTTCCACACAGTGGATCAAAACCTAACTCCTGGTCTTTACCCTTCCCTTTCAGCTTTCTCTCTCCACCCCCCACCCTGCAATGTTCCCACTGGGATAAATAAGTGCACCATCTGCGTAATCATAATCGTATCACTGAAAAAGGTTAGTGAGTGAGAAGGTAGAGGTTTAAATCTATTGCTTATACCCTTGCCTACCTCTTGTGTCTTCTATTTCAAAAGTTACTTTCTTTTATTTGAAAACCACGAGACAGAAATCTGCCCTCTGCTGGCTCACTACCCAAATGCCCATAACACCTGAGCTAGGCCAGACAAAAGCCAGAGCCCAGAACTCACTTCAAGTCTCCCACA